AAAAAATAAATTAAAGAAAAAAACCTGGGACTGTGGAACAGGGTCAGCCTGATGGTGCCTTCCTCACACACTCAAGCTGAGGTAGTCTCTCCATCCTGTGGATGAACTTCATAGGATTCCAGTGCTTTCCGAACACGGAATTGGATTGGGGGCATGGGGCACAGTCAGGGTGGCAGGGTGGTATACCAGGATGAGCCTCCACCTGCACTGCTGACATGGAATATGGACACAACTTTAAGTCACAGATGCTCCACTTCAGATTCTCCCTGATAACAGCCTGAAGAAACAGTGGAGGCCAGCACAGTTCTCAGGCTCCTGCATCCACAGGGGAGACCCGGAAGAAGCTCTTTGGTTCACTGCTTTGCATAGATCCAGCTGCAGCTGTTATGGCCAATTAGGGAGTAAACTAGGAAAAGTAAGATATCTATCTACGACAGCATTTCAAATAAAATCAAAAGAAAATAACTTTTTAAAAAATACATGTGATTTTGTAGCCAGGCAGATGGCCTAGAGGCTAAATCCTCACCTTGTATACACCAGGATCCCATATGGACAGTGGTTTGTATTCCTGCTGCTCCACTTCCCATCCAGCTCCTTGATTGTGGCTTGGGAAAGTAGAGGATGACCAAAAGCCTTGGAAACCTGTACTCACATGTCACACATGGGAGACCTGGAAGCAGCTTCTGACTTCAGATCAGCTTAGCTCTGGTCATTATGGCCAGCTGGGATGGGAGATCTTGTTCTTATCTCCTTTCTATATATCTGCCTTTCCAATAACTTAAAAATATAAATCATTTTAAAAAAGCTATTTAAATGTGAGTTTTGCTACATGAAACTCATATCCTTTCAATTTCATCAGTTTTCTTTCCTTTATTGTGTGATCTGTAATTAATGGAACCCTATCTGCTTAGCTCTGGTTAACAATATACTCTGTAGGATTGTTACCCTCTCATTGGGCTGAAACATGGGTAATGTGAATTTCATGTGACTCAATGAGTCTACTTTAGTTAGTTATCCCTGGACCAAATAACCTTATCATTCTGTTAACACTATGGATTTTTCCATTTTTGTGGCCACATGACAAAGCCAGTAATCATGGCACATGAACCACTAAATAGCTGAATTGCATTTTTTCCTCTGCAGAGCTTCTGATGGCCAACACTGCAGCTACCCCTTCTGCATGCTAGGCCAATGGAATCCCAGATACTTCTCTAAAGATAAGGCTATCTGCTCCTCACACAGATGTTACCATCCATTCAGTAACATCTGCAGTGTGACTGATCAACCCATGAGCCAACAATTCTGCAAGGCAGGAGACCAGGCTGAACCCCATTTCCCCAGAGGGTATGGATTTGCTCTGCCCTCGGAATGCTTTCCGGCAAGTCTCTCTGCCTGATGAAGTTCCTCTGTGAGGAATCCACATTGTCCCTCAGTGGTCACATCCCCTCCTTGGATATACCACCTCCAGGTCCACAACTGTTGGTCACTCTCGATTCTTACCACTTCTGCTGTGGAGAACTTTGTCCAATGCATAACTGGCATGGCAGTTCTCAGAGTCACTGTAGTGTTGCCAGACAGAGGTTCCACTGACTTAATGCTTCCTACATCGGCCATGTTCCTTTTGCAAAACTTGCATATCTAACAATGGAATCTAGGGATTTTCTTTGGTCCAGACACAACAAGGCTTAAATAACTGGTCATCCTGTCTCATGGTACAGTGTCCATGTACCTCATTATACTAGATCTAGTTCCAGATCTTATCCCTAAGTTGGATAACTTAATTTTTGAAAAGCTTTCACATTACCCTTTCATTGTTAAAAACCAGGTGATAATTCTCAAATTCATTTACAACTTTAAGCTTTCTTAGCCTATTTAAAAATGGGTTTAACAATAACCCCAAAGGTGTAGAGATGCATCAACAGATAAACCCATTAACATATGTGCAATGGATTAATCATTGGAGGTTTTCATTCTTGTATTTTATCAATTGCTGATTGTCTTCCTTTCATTTGTCTTCCTTTCATTTACCATATATTTTCTCAAAAATTTGCAACTATATTTAATTCAGTCATCTTGCACTGGGTAACTCTAGAATGCTTATAACTTGTATCAATAATCACTGGTTTGCCTTGTGCAAGATGCACAAGGATTGCACAATGTCTTATCATTTCATCATCTATATATCGATATATGTAATAATGGCTGACTTACACTCTTAAAAAACTGATTTCTTTTTATGGGCAAACCAGATCAGATTTATGGAGAGAAATAAGTTCAAAAGATCTTCCACCCCAAATGGATGCAATGGACAGAGCCGAACCAATACAAAGCCAGCTTCTTCTCAGTCTCCCACACACGTGCAGAGTCCCAAGGCTTTAGACCAGCTTCTAGTGCTTTTCCAGGCCATAAGCAGGGAGCTGGATGGGAAGTAGAGCAGCAGGAACTTGAACTAGTGCCCATATGGGATCCTGGCAATTGCAACATAAGGATTTAGCTATTGAACCATTGCACTGGGCCATCAATTTGATAAAACTTATATAAAACAAGCTATAATTGGAATATCAAGATCATCTTGAGTGACTGTTTAAGATCAAATTGTATAACTTCCCATAAAAATGCTTGTTTTAATATTCTTTACGTTATGATACAGCAAAGAACATGTCTGCTCTATTTGGAAACCTCCAGGCTTTGTGAGGAAAGTTCCTCCGAGGGGTTCTGTGTTCATACCACACGTGCCAGTGCCTACCTGTTTCTACATTTGGCACAGGCCAGGAGACTCACTGGAGGAAGAACCAAGCAAATGAAAACCCAGGACCACTTGCCTTTCTCCACCCTACCTATTTTCTGTCTTTCCTCCCATCTGCCCACTCTTACTAACTCCAGACTCCTGGCTGTTCACCCTCTCTCCAGGTTTTCTAGGTGCTGTCACTGTGCTTCTTCCATCTCCACTAGAATTTGGAGGCAGAACTCCTTCATTACGTTACTTTAAGCAACTCAACTATCAACACTACAGAGTACACAGGCAGACCTGGGACATGAAGAAACTCCTACAGCAGGGCTACAACATCCCCGTGATGGAGCTGCTGCTTTGTTTCTGACCATCAGTAATGCCACGCTCTTCCCTCCCACATTTCTGACTTGTGAAATTGCACCCTCCATAGCAAGGACAAATCAGTATTTCAAATGAAACAAAACAGCCATCAGGACATAAGAGAGCATGTTAATGAGTTGTGTGTTAAACAAACAAACATGCAAACAAAAAACACAAAGAAACAAAAATACCTGCTCTGCATATCACTCCACCAGGCACCAGGAAGAGCACAGTCACAAAGAGACCAGTGCAGGATGACAAACAAAACTAACACAAGGGCTGCCCTCTGAACACACTTTCCAGCCTCCACAAATGCTGAGGATTGGTGCTGAGCACAGAAGTCACCAGGTGAAGTGGTGATCAGCTTTATATCTTGTAAAATTAGCAGATCACCAAAAGGTGGTTGTCCTGAAGCTCATTGTCAAATTATGCACCAAACTCATCATTTTTTTTACATTCAAAAAGAAAATATTACTCATCTAGGAGAACAGGAGAGGGACATAAATACTACATTTGACATCTCCTGCATATACAGGAATAACCAAAAATGCCAAAGGTCTAGAGGACAACATATATAAGGACATTAGGGGGGCCACCATGTAAATGCAGGCTGTGAAAAACATCTGTCAGATACAGTGGGAGCAGAACCAAAATCTAAAGGATGCTTCTGAGAGCTGAAAGGTACATCTGGTCTCATCTTGAGCAGGACACAAGCGTAGGGAGGGGATGAGGGGGAGGCATGGGAGCCCTCTCAATAGTGTTTCTGTTGGACAGAGATGGGCTAGGTTACCCTGGCAGCAGAGGTAGGTGTCCACATTCACACCAGGTGACAGGTGAAGCACGTTTCAAGGAGGGCTTTCCAGCTCTCACAGAAGGATGTGCATGCAAATGTGCATGATGTATACACCTGACATACCTGGAGTCACACAGCAGGTGCAGTTTTGCTGCAGATCAGAGCACTTCACTTCCCATCACTGATCTCATCAGACAGTGAGGCTGGGAGACAAGGAACAGGGAGAACCAGCTTGTGATACAGCAAAGGTGACTGAATGGAAATCGATCAGACTGGACCTTTCAGAGACATGGCCAAGAGCCCCAGGACCACACCCATTCTGTATCTGAAGGGGGAGTGGGCATGAGAAACTGGGTTGTTCACTCCCCTGCCAGTGGATGAAGATGAAATACAATGGTAGTAATTAAGTGAGCTGGCTGCCCACTTTCCTGGAAGTAACTGAATGACTGCAACAAGATTCCAGTAGAAAACAAGGAAAAATGGTAGAAGAATAAATATGCACCCTTACAACATAAACCCAATTCTGATCTATGCAGAACTGACTCTTTGCAAGATAGAAAAAGAGCAAACAGAAGGAGGGGGCAAAGCACAAACCAAATATCTGATGTTCTTAAGAGACACACTAAAATCATTAGGACTTGTGGGGAGCTGTAGGGAGCCTGCATCCTACACCCTACACGGCCAGTGCCAGACTGCCGCTTCCTCCTGTGCTAGAAAAAACAAGCTACAGGAAGTCTGCTGTGATTGGCCCAGGGGTGTGTGGATGGCGCGTGGACAGCGCGTGATCTGTATGATGATTGGCCTGCCCACTGCGTGCACAGGTGACCTTTACTTTGATTGGCCGGGTTACCCAGCATATAAGGGAGCCAGAGAACTGGGGCGGGGGGGAGAGAGAGCGCGTCATGGAGAGAGCAGGAGAGAGCGCGCCTCGGACGGAGAGAGCGCACCCCGCCGAGAGAGAGAGAGCGCACCTCAGAGAGAGAGAGAGCGCGCACCTCGCGATGGTGTGGCTGCTGCACGCCCACCGCACGCTGGTTTTGCTGTGTTTTCTCCACAATAAAGGCTCCGCAAAGACAACAAGTGTCCGGGTTTGACTTGCTGGCCAAGGGACCCTGACATCTGGTGCCGTGACTCGGATCGGAACTACAGGTAAGCGAAGCGGGGAACGCGAAAGGGAGCTGAGCAGGGACTCAGGGAGCTGCGGAAGCAGGGAACACGAAAGGGAGCTGAGCAGGGACTCAGGCAGCTGCGGAAGCAGGGAGCGCAAAACGGAGCTGAGCAGGGACTCGGAGCCGCGGAAGCGGGGAATTTGAAAAGGAGCTGAGCAGGGACTCAGGGAGCCGCCTTGAGCGGGAAGCGTACGCTAGGTTCGCGGGATAGCGACAAGAGTAAGCTTACCAGAAGTGGTAACAATATGGGAAATTCAAATTCTTCAGTACACATGCAGTGTTTACTGCAGAAGCTACTGAAGAGGAATGGAACGCCGGTGAAGGCACAGACAGTACTTTCATTTTTGCAGATAGCACAGCGGCATGCTCCGTGGTTTCTAGAGGAGGGACTCCTAACGCTGCCACAGTGGGAGCGTTTAGGTCAAGACTTAGCCCGAGCGGCTCAGCATAAGCCCCTACCACCGGGGACCGTAGGGTTCTGGATGTTTGTTAGATCTTGTTTAGCGGATAAGTCAGGAAAGTACAGAGAGATAATACAGGAGGGAGAGGAGGTTCTCCGAAACATGCAGGAAGAAGCCTCTACTTGGGAAAGGAGTGAACAGGGGAGTTCAGAATCTGAAAGTGACAGCGAATCTGATGAAAAGTCAGGCGAGGAGCTAGACCAGCTTGCCAACAAGATGAACAAGGCCTCATTGGACTCCCGCATGGGCTCCCGCAGGCCGCCTCAGCAGCCTCCCTCAAGTGACCCACCAGTGAACCCTAGCGCCCCTCCTTGGCCTGCGTGGCCAGAGAGGGGTGCGGGATTTGGCTGGCGGGACCTTGTGGAGCCCGGCCAGGTGTTCCCTGTTCATGAGGATAGGAACGCTAGGGGGGGGGGCCATGGCCGTGGTTTTACCTCCCCTTTGATTTCAAAGTGATTAAGGATTTGAAAACAGCCGTCGATTCTTATGGTGTGCATGCCCCCTTTACAATTGCGCTGCTAGAACAGATTAGTTTTAATGCCCTGACCCCAGATGATTGAAACAGTTGGCCAGAGCCACTCTCTCCCCTGGCCAATATCTGGTCTGGCGGGCCGCATATCATGAACTGGCCATGGACCAGGCACAGCGTAACGCACAAGGTGGAAACAGGGAATGGAATGCCGATATGCTGCTGGGAGAGGGAGCTCGGGCAGGAAACAATAATCAACATGAGTATCCTGAACCAGTTTATGGCCAGATTCAACAAATAGGCCGTACTGCGTGGCGAGTTCTACAGAGTAAAGGGGACTCCGTTTTTCCATCTCTAAAGTGACTCAGGGGTCTAACGAGCCCTACGCTGATTTTGTGAGTCGCCGCATGGAGGTAGCAGGAAAGCTTTTCCCCGATGTAGAGCAGGCTATGCCTCTGGTCAAGCAGCTGGCTTACGAGAATGCTAATAAATGGTGCCGTGAGGCCATCCGTCCCTGGAAACATAAAGATCTAGATACATGGATAAAGATTTGCAGGGATGTTCATGATCAAGTTACTGCAGGGGTGGTACAAGCCAGAGAGCAAGCAAAAGTGTTGGGGGCGATGATTAAAGGCAAAGAATCGGGAGGTAGGACGTGCTTCCAATGCGGCAAGCCTGGCCACTTCAAAAGGGAGTGTAGACAGGGCCGAGATGCACGATCAACACCTAAACCAGGTCCCTGCCCTAAGTGCGGCAAAGGGAATCATTGGGCGAATGAATGTAGGTCCAGACAGGATATTACAGGACAGCCTTTGGATTATGGTGCTCGGCCAAAAAACGGGCCGAGGGGCCCAGCACCTCGGGGCCCCAGCAGAGTGTACGGGGTGCAATCCAACAGCCCAACATCCTTCGGGCTACCCCAGGAAGCGCAGGATTGGACCTCTGTGCCACCTCCCACCTGGTATTAACTCCGGAAATGGGACCACAAGCTTTAGACACCACCTTCTCTGGCCCACTTCCTCCAGATACTGTGGGCCTTGTTTTTGGTCGCAGTTCCAAGACCCTGAAGGGGCTGGTAGTTCACCCAGGGGTCATATATTCTGATTATACCAGAGTAGTTAAAGTAATGGTATCCTTCCCCAGAGGTGTCACTGTAATTATCCCTGATGAGCGCATTGCCCAGCTTCTTGTTTTACCCAGTTGTCACAGGAGATGGCGGAGTCGTTCTGCTCCACGTGGAAGCCAAGGCTTTGGCTCCTCTGGTGATGCCCTTGTCAATTTGTCAGTTGCCTTGCAAAATCGCCCCATGGCCACCTTAACTATTAAAGGAGTTCCATTTGAAGGTCTTTTAGACACGGGAGCAGATGTGAGCATTATCCGACAGGGTGATTGGCCCAAGGACTGGCCCATCCAACAAACTTCACAAACCCTACGGGGACTTGGAGTGGCCAATCAGCCTAGGCAAAGTGCAGTTGTATTGCCATGGCAAGATAAAGAAGGACATCAAGGATCATTTCAGCCCTACGTCTGCCCCATTCCTGTGACTCTATGGGGACGGGAAGTGCTCAGCGCCATGGGCTTGCAGCTGAGCAATCAGTTTAATCAAGTAGGAAGCTTGCAAGCCTGGCACATTATGGCAAGTATGGGATATTCAGGAAAAGGGATAGGCAAAGAAGAGCAGGGAAATGTGGATCCTGTTAGCGCCCGACCCAAGTTAGGACGACAGGGACTGGGTTTTCAGCAGGGGCCGCTGCCAAACAGCAGGTATTAAAAATCACTTGGGTGTCCGATGGACCCGTGTGGGTGTCGCAGTGGCCCCTTACTCATGAAAAACTGTTGGCTGCTCAGGAGCTTGTCATGGAACAATTAACCCTAGGGCATATAGTCCCTTCCACATCACCTTGGAATACCCCTATTTTTGTGATCAAGAAAAAGTCAGGCAAATGGCGATTGTTGCATGATCTTCCCGCCATTAATGCCACCATGCAGCCTATGGGTGCCGTGCAACTTGGTGTTCCATTAGCCACTGCCGTTCCTAGAGATTGGTATTTAATTGTGATTGATATCAAGGATTGTTTTTTTTTCTATACCTTTGCATCATCAAGATTCAAAGCGTTTTGCTTTTACGTTACCTTCCATTAACCATCTAGGCCCAGATCAAAGATATCAGTGGGTTGTGCTTCCACAGGGTATGATGAATAGCCCCACTATGTGCCAATTATATGTAGCCCAGGCATTGTGCCCAGTCAGAAAAAAGTTTCCACATTTGTGCATTTATCATTATATGGATGATATCCTTGTAGCAGGAGAGCAAAGGGTAGAGGTGCAGGCCACCTTAGTGTGCCTGAAGCAGGAACTAGCAGCCTGGAAGTTATATATTGCCCCAGAGAAGATTCAAGAGGGCCAAGATGTCAAATATTTGGGCCTGCGTATGACTGCTCGACAGGTGGCCCCGCTACAGGTAAATATTAAATTGGATGGGTTAAACACTCTTAATGACTTTCAACAGCTTTTGGGCCATATCAATTGGATTCGCCCGTACCTGCGTATTACCACCAAAGATTTAGAACCATTATTTTCCATCCTTCATGGAAGCCCTGCCCTGGATTCTCCTCGGACGCTCACGCCTGCTGGGCGCAAAGCCCTAGAACTGGTACAGCAGCGCTTACAAGAAGCACAGGTTGAGCGTTGTGATCCTACCCAACCCCTATCTGTTTTAGTAATTCCAGAGAGTATTCCTGCTGCCTTATTGTGGCAAGGAGGACCATTAGTCTGGATTTATTTACCTATGCAACCCTCCAAAGTGCTGGCTGCCTTTCCTGAACTTATGGGTCAAGTGATTTTGAAAGCTGTTGAAAGAGCTCGCGAAGCTTTTGGTATTTATCCTGCTATGTGTGTTACTCCCTATTCAAGGGCTATGATTGATGTTCTATGTCAGACTATGGATGTTTGGGCCATTTTAGCATCCTGTTTTGCCTTACAGTTTGATACTCATTACCCATCACACCCTTGGGTACAATTCTGCAAACAGGTGCCACTTTGTTTCCCTCGGATAGTCAAGGATAGGCCCATACCCAATGCTGCGGTGGTCTTTACTGATGGTGCCAAAGGCGGGACTGGTGTAGTAATTTGGGATACCCGCATTTTTCCCATAGCCATTGCTTCTTCTTCTCCGCAGGCTGCAGAGCTAGCTGCCGTTGCCCTGGCCCTGCGCCTTGTGCCTGAATCATTTAATCTTTTATCTGATAGTCTCTATGTGGTGAATGCTTTGAAGCACTTGGAGCTGGTGGAATATATTTTGCCACGCTCCACCATCTATGAAGCTTTGTTCCAGGTTTGACAGCTTTTGTTGTCCCGAAAAAATCCCCTCTATATTGGTTTTATTCGTGCCCATTCTACTCTACCTGGACCCCTGGCCCAGGGCAATGCTATGGCTGATGCTGCCTCTCGGTTTTTATTGGCACTTTCGGTGGAAGAAGAAGCCCAGCGTTTCCATCAGCGCTGGCATGTTAGTGCCCGCACCCTAATGAAGCGTTTTTCTATCGCTCGGAAGACAGCTCGGTCTATAGTTAGAGAATGTCAATCTTGTGCTCCTTTTCTTTCTCAACCTCATGTTGGTGTGAATCCACGTGGTTTGTTACCCAATCATGTGTGGCAGATGGATGTTACCCATATTCCAAGCTTTGGTCCTTTATCCTTTGTTCATGTATCCATTGATACCTGCTCAGGAGTCCTGTTCGCTTCAGCCCATACAGGGGAGAAGGTGCAGGATGTTATCTCGCACTGTTTGCATGCCTTCGCTGCTTGGGGCGTGCCCCGTATGTTGAAAACGGATAATGGCCCTGCTTATACAGCAAAGGCCTTTGCCACTTTTTGTGCAGAATTTGGTATTACACATTCCACTGGCATACCCTATAATCCCACAGGCCAAGCCATAGTGGAGCGTGCTCATTCCACCCTCAAAAATCTACTTATAAAACAAAAAGGGGGAGTAGGGGCCACCCTTTATCCCAATAGCCCCAAACATCAATTGGCCCTTGTCATTTATATTTATAATTTTTTTATGTTAAATTTGGATGGCCGGTCTGCTGCCGAACGCCATGCCCTGGGTTGCGGCATTACTCAGGAACAAGTGATATGGAAGGATGTGTTAACTAAACAGTGGAAGGGCCCGCATCCGGTGTTAAGGCGGACGCGAGGTGCAGTTTGTGTTTTTCCACAGGATTCAGAAGCCCCTGTGTGGATACCAGAGCGCCTAACGAGAGTGGTGAGAGCCTCCGTGCCGGACAACATCCAAGATGAAGCCCTGGATGCTCAGGCCGGTGATCCTGCTGGTAACACTGCTGCCTCCTGGAACACTGAGCCAACAGCTTCAACTATGGGCGATCGTGAAGGCATGGCCAGTGCCATTACTGGTGACCAATAACTCATCAATGCTGCCCCCATTCTTCAACACTGATGCGACTATTGGACTACTGGTGGTGTCCCTGGACAACACCACATTGCCATCCACGAACCGGACAATTCAATTGCACGGATCGGTTTGTTTTCAAAGCCGGCCGTGGACAAATGGGACCAGACTTTGCATCCTATTGGCGAACCAGACCATTGGACAATTTCAGAGGAACAGCTCAGGAAGATGGGCACATCTCCTCACGGGTCAGGTACCACGCTTTTTTGCCAGCGCTCACAATGCGGGAACCATTTTGTGACTGGGAGTTTGTCAGCTCCTCCCTCGTTGTATGGACCAATGGTCATGGCCGCCGGACTGGACTGACTGCCAGAGCACTGTCACCCTTGTAGGGTGGCTCCTGGCCTGAACTTGTCCAATCTGTTTCTGACTTATACTAATGACTGCGGAACCATGGACTAATTGATTGTTAAAGTGTTTATCCTTTGCTAAGCAGTGGGCTGGAATGATTGGTGTATGCGTGCTTGTGATGATCTGAGAGCCTGGGCCATTCGCACTCTATGCAGACGCATTTCAGCAACAGCAACAGCAACAGGTGCTATTAATGCAGGTTGTCAGGGCCTTCACTAGACATGAATCCCCTGAGGTATGGCTTAACATGATGGACTGGTAGTCAAAGACGGGTAAGTATCCGGTAAGGCTCTACCAACCCAAGCCAGGCGCCACGAGCCAGGTGGTTAGCTGATGACGGGTAAGGAGAGCCTACTCCGGAACACCTAAGACAGGCACAGTCCCGTGATTAATAAAACAAAAAGGGGGAGCTGTGGGGAGCTGTAGGGAGCCTGCATCCTACACCCTACACGGACAGCGCCAGACTGCCGCTTCCTCCTGTGCTAGAAAAAACAAGCTACAGGAAGTCTGCTGTGATTGGCCCAGGGGTGCGTGGATGGCGCGTGGACAGCGCGTGATCTGTATGATGATTGGCCTGCCCACTGCGTGCACAGGTGACCTTTACTTTGATTGGCCGGGTTACCCAGCATATAAGGGAGCCAGAGAACTGGGGCGGGGGGGGAGAGAGAGCGCGCCATGGAGAGAGCAGGAGAGAGCGCGCCTCGGATGGAGAGAGCGCACCCCGCCTAGAGAGAGAGAGCGCACCTCAGAGAGAGAGAGCGCACCTCGCGATGGTGTGGCTGCTGCGCGGCTGCATGGCGGCTGCTGCACGCCCACCGCACGCTGGTTTTGCTGTGTTTTCTCCACAATAAAGGCTCCGCAAAGACAACAAGTGTCCGGGTTTGACTTGCTGGCCAAGGGACCCTGACAAGGACTCATAGAACAAAGGATTCAGGAGGAGAGCAGGCACATGTAACCCCCAAGATTGCTGAGTCTCACCAAGTTCACAGGAGGCAAACCTGAGTTCAAGGCTCAAGGTATTAAATGGAATAATGTGGGTTTGGGCCTTGGGGTTGGGGGCAAAAGCAACTCACTGCAGTGTGGCGGTTGTGGGGATGCCCCTGCCAGGCCAGACCTAATGCTGGGAACTCAGGCCAAAACCACTGCTGAAAGGCAATGACCAAGTCCTTGGCTTTCGGTGCCCAGTGCATCAAGTGCTGCCAGGCTCTGCCTGCTGGCTGCCCACTGGCAAACTCTGAGGTTTTTAGGATATGTAATTGCTGCCTAGGGACATCCATGAATAAAGCCAGTTTTAGTGTAGGGGAGAGATGACTTCTGGGTGATTCCCTGTAACAGGGTCATGAAACTTTTATGCAAGCATGGGTATTGAGACCACATGACTTGGAGGGGAGTCTCCATAAGATCTTTTTGGGCCAGACTGAGTCACCAGCCCAATTAGAAATCCTGAGATGGGCTGTTAGCATAGAGCATCACTGACTGTCACACACTAGTCCACACCAAAGCTATGGATGGGGGACTGTCTGGCAGGGCTAGGTACAAGTACCTGACTGGGTGGTGGAATAGTGGACTGGTCACACTTGGCATGGTCAAGACACTAACCAGCATGCAAGAAAACTTGGTCCAGGGGTAGACTCTGTGAGGGAAGTGTGGGCCCAACCCTGTGGAAATACAAGTCCCACAACCTAACTCACAGGCTGGGGTGGTGGCAGGCTGAACTAGGTGTGAGCATGGCACTTGCCATCACTCATGGGTAAAGGAACCCATAGCCTGGGCAGGTCAAGGCAGCAGCACCCAAAGGTACATCCTAAAACAGGAAGTGGGTTTGACCGAACTGCAACTGGAATTGGGCGAGCTGGGCAGGGCAAAGCAAACCTCAACTCACAAGAAAGATCAGAAATCAGAATGGAGCATATGTCATGCCCAACTAGGATCTTACACTGAATGGCTTGCAAAAGTCCGGGATACTATGCCACAGCATCGAAGGCAAAGGCTGAGACTGGTGAGGGGTTAAGCCAACTGGGTCGGAGCAACCACTGGCACACACACGTGTAATGTAAGGCTGGGAATAGACTTCATGTGGGAGCTGTAAGAGAACACCCTTGCTGGGTTGGGGTTTACACAGGAGGGTTTTCTCTGGTGGGGACCAGAGTGGGGGCTGCATTCTGGTCTGGATATGGCTGCAATCTCCCTTGGCACAAGTGTCGAATGGGGCTGACCGCACTGAGCCAGGCTAGATGCCAGACTGTCTGCTGCTCTGGAGGGCAGATGAGGCTTGGTCTCTGTCCATACTGAGCCATGTGTAAGCAGTATCTGGGTATGGACAAACCTTGGCTGGGCTGAAACATCCAACACCAAGAACTGGAAAGGATTGAAGGCCAGCAATGTGGGCTGGCACATGAAACCAGCAGGACGTGCAAGATCTGGCACAGGGAGAGGTTCTGATGGAGGAGCTTGGGAAATGCCTCTGTCAGGACACAGTCCCTACAGGTAAGCACAAGAACCATAATAGGCAGCAATCCAGACAAGGCCAGAGGAAAATACCCAATCGCTTACATTGGGCATAGGTGGGGGGCAGACCAGGCTGAACCTGTTGACAACACCCGTTGGTGAATCCGAGTACCAGAACAGAGTGTGGGTCATCCCAGGTTTGGTCACAACACAAACGGGTGCACATTACAGAATGCCAAGGTGGGGTGAGCTCTACCAAATGTGGTTACAACACCCAAATAGCACATGTGAGAACCAGGTGAGAGGAAAAGGATAAGCCAGCAGGGGGAATGTGGGCTCCCTTGCTGGACAACCACTCCCATTGGAGAGTGTGAGTTGGGATGGGGCAGACCAGACTAGGCAGGGTTACAATACCTGTGAGACTCATGTGAGCTAGATCAAGGAAGGGCCAGGTTGGGCTGACTGTTCTGACTGGTGCAAGCAAAAATTAGAGTGGGTACGAGTTGGTTGGGCTTTGCCACAGCATCAGCTGGCAGAGGCTGGCACTGGGACCTAATTCTGTCAAGTCAAATGCCAGAACCACCTGGAGAGTGCACAATCTGGGACTTGGTTTGGCCTAGTAGGCAGATAATGGGCAGCTCCCTCTGGGTTACCACTCTCACTGGAGAGCAGGAAAACCAGGACAGGGGCAGAGGTGGCTAGACAGAAAGGTACTTACCTGTATGTGTGTGGGCTGGATAGTAGGTTGGTTGGGTTGAACTAATCTTCAATGAACACTGACAAGTACCAGAGCTAAATGGGATGGGGAACAGGCTGAACAAGTCTGCGGAACATACTGGCATGCATGGGAACCAATTAGAATCCCAACAACATTCTTCTCAGAAATAGAAGATACAAAAGCTCATCTGGAAACAAGAGCATGCATAGCCAAAGCTATCCTGAAGAATAAAAATCAAGCTGGAAGAATTTCCATTCCAGAACCAGAGACATACTACAGAGCAGTGGTCATCAAAACAGGCTGGTACTGGTAAAGAAACAGAGAATATCAATGGAACAGAATAGAAACACCAGAAGGGAGACCACACATGTAAACAGTCAACTAATGTTTGACAAGACCACTGAAAACAACCCAGGAAAAAAGGCTTATTTCTTTAACAAATGCTGTTGGGACAATTGGATAGCAGTTTGCAGAGGTACAAAGCAAAACCCACACCTGTCACCTTATACAAAAATCAACTCTAAATGTTTCTAGGACCTAAATCTGCACCCAGAAACTATCAAACTTTCAGAAGAAAACACAGGAACCACTCCCCAAGATATAGAAATGGAGAAAGACTTCTTGGAAAAGACAATAAAAGCACAAAGACAAAATACACAAATGGGACTATATCAAGCTAAATGTGTCTGTACAGCAAAGCAAACTATTAACAAAGTGAAGAAGCAACCAGCAGAATGTGAAAAAATCATTGCACACTACAAAAGTGGTAAGGGACTAATATCCAGGATCTACAAAGAACTTCAGAAACCCGGCCACAGGTACACAAACAAGCAAACCAACAAATCTGTGAATAAATGGGCAAACAAAATGCACAGACATTTTCAAAAGAACAAATGCAAATGGCTGACAGAGACATGAAAAGGCTTCCTAGCCGTCAGGGAGACACAAATCAAATCCACGTTGAGGTACCACCTAACTCCAGTCACACTGGCCTACATTCAGAATTCTAGTAACATCATCTGCTGGCATGGATGTGGGGAGAAAGACACCTTCCTTTAGTTCTGGTAGGCATGTAGACTAGTACAACCACTATGGAAATCAACATGGATGGAGACTGATTAGAGAACTCCAAATAAACTTGCCTTATGAACTAGCTATACCGCTTCTAGGACTATATCCAAAGGAAATGCAATCTGCATGAGAGAAGGGGAACTGTAATCCGCTATTTCCAGTAGCACAAGCTACAATAGCAAACCTATGGAAACAACCCACAGGCCCATCCAAAGAAGTGGGTAAAGAAATGTGG